TGGCCAGGGAGACGTATGCGAGCTCAGCCACGGGGGCCGTTGGTGGAGCTCCTTGAGCTCCTTCTGGGGCCACGAAATGCCGTAGATACCGCATGCGAGCTCAGCCACGGGGGCCTTCGGTGGAGCTCCCTTGGAGCCACGAATCGCTGTGCCGGGTGGGGGAACCGCATGCGAATGCAGCCACTGGGGCCTTCGGTGGAGCTTCTTGTGGGGCCACGAAGCGCTGTCCCCATGGGCTTCCTGCCAGATTGGAGCGAGCAGCCTTAACTAATGCTTGTTGCCGTTAGCAGAGAAGCAGCCTTGAGCCAAGTGAGCTACTCTGGGCTTCTTCTTAGGGTTTCCTAATAAGCGTGGGGGGGCATCCCCCCCGACGGGGGTCAACCTCGCCTCGTCGTCGCGGTGCGACGTGGGTCGGAGCGCCTTCGGCGCGCGGTGGCTGCCCGCGACGGGGGTCGATGTGGGGCTGTCGGCGGGGTTGACGCCCCCCCGACGCTCATTAAGAATCTCGGGTTGAGCTTTGAAGAGTTCCAGGGCCTCAGGCCCGAAGGGTGGAAGAGGAGGACGCAGACTTCCAGCGGCGAAAGGATCGCCATCCTCAAGGAGGACGGGGATGGATATTTGGAGAAGGGGATGATGATGATGAGGAGGAGGAGGAGGAGGAGGAGGAGGAGGAGGAGGAGGAGCGAGGAGCGAGGAGCGAGGAGCGAGGTTTCTGGGACGGCCACTGCGGCGTGCGCGGGCGGGCAGGCCCCGACGGGCGGGCGGGCGGGCCACGGCGCGCGAGCACGCGGGCGGCCGCCCGAGCGAGCGGGCGGGCCCTGACTGTCGGGCGGGCGGGCCCCATCGGTCGACGACGACGACGACAGTGCCCACGTCGATCACGATGGGCAGAGTGACGCCGCCGACGCAGCCAGAGTCACTGGCGGAATCCGAGCCCTGACCCGCGGCCCCACGCTGCCCACATTTTTTGGGCGGGCAACGGTTCATTGGTGGTCACTCAGCTCGTGTGTTGCGAGAGTGTTAGTGCCCAGCCCTACTCATGAGATCGGCTTGTTCTATCGCCCGCATCACAACAACAGCAGGAACAACAACAGCAGCAGCAGCAACAAAAACGACAGCAACAACACCAACACCAGCAACAACAACAACAACAACATCAACAACAACACCAGCAACAACAACAACAGCAACAACAACAACAACAACACCAACTACACTTACACTTACACTTACACTTACACTTACACCAACTACAACAACACCAACAACAGCAACAGCAACAGCAACAACAACAGCAGCAACAGCAGCAGCAGCAGCAACAACAACAGCAACAACAACGGTTCACTGCTGGGGTTCATTTCGCCCGTGCCTGGTCGTAGTTTTTGGGCCTCCTTTTTGGTGTCCCAGGCCTCTCCTGCCCCAGGGGTTGGACGGGGAGGGGCAGGCAACGAAGACGACGAGGACGACAGAGCACGACGGTCGACGGTTCCGTCGTCGATTACCCCCCGCAGAACGACGCCATGAACGCAACCAGGGCCAGCACGATTACCAGGGAGGGGTAGGCAACGAAGACGACGAGGACGATAGAACACGGCGTCGACGGTCCCGTCGACGATTTACCCTCAGCAGCACGACGCCATAAACGCAACCAGGGCCAGCACGATTACCATGATGACCCCAGCACCGCCTCAACCAGAGCCACCACCGGAAACGGGACGCGGACGACGCGCGAGGGCCGAAGCGGGCCGCCACGAAGCGGGCCAGGACGGAGCGGGCTGGGACGGCACGCGGGGCGGAACGGAGCGGGACGGGACGAAGCAGTGCGGGATGAAGCAGGGCTGGACCTGAACTGTGTTTTTGGTGATTTCGTGGGCCGTTTTCGTTTCGACTTCGTTTTGCGGCAAAGGCGGATTCGAGACAAAAGCGAGGGAGAACGAAAACAAAACGAAAACGAAAACCACCGTTTAGGTTCAGCCTTGGGATGAAGTGCTGGGTGAGTGAAGTCTCCGAACGAGCAGGGGGTAGGGGGGTGCAGCGGGCCGGGACGAGACGGGGACGCTTCCCTCCTCCCTTTTGTCCGCGTGCTTCTGCTCCTCCCTCAGGGCGACAAGGGCCACGACGACCGGCACCACAGCACACAGCTGTTCCAGGTCCCTCCAGCGGAGGTGCGAGACGGTGATGCGGCTCAGCTGGTAGTCGTCGAGCTTGCGAGCGGTGGGACGGTTGGGACTGTACAAATTTGCGTTTCCAACTGTTGAATGGCCCCTTCCCTTTCACATTCGAGTTCTGACCTTGTGGATGGTCAGCGCCTGTGGAAGCACATCTTTATGCAATACTGTCAGCGTCCACGTGCCTGTGGCGTGCGACTTGAGTGAGTGGTGAGTTTGTTCTCTCTTCCTCATCCTCATCATTCCTGCCCGTCCTTGCCCTGTCCTCCCCCCCCCATTCATTTGCCCTGCCTCCCACAAATATACCCTCAATTTGGAGGTGACGAGTCTACGATTGTTTCCGCAATGTATTTGCGCGTGTGCCACCACATTCCCATTTGGTTCATGACATGTCGCGACTTCTTCAGTGAAGTAAGAGACGTTAGTAGCCACTGTGTGGATATCTGTATGACGCCTCGTTTTTCCATCCATCCCCAGCCCTCACTCTCACGTTCATATTTAATCGAAGACGCCGGCGGCGAGTCACTGCCGTCTCCTGCTCTTGTGGAATCGCAGGGTAAATGTGGCCGATGCTGCATGTCAAAGTCGCTCGGCTGTGGGGGAATCCTTGTTTTCGGGGCTCCTAAAAAGGCCCTGTCGTTGGTTTATGTTGGCTGCTTTGGGTCCCTCTTTGGCCGTCAATTCGGGTGCTCCTGGGCCGTCTGGAGCATCCCTGGGGGAGCGTCATCGACGGCATCTGGAGAGGCCGTGAGGGTTGCTCGCAGCGCTGCTGGGGCTGCTGTCTTTCTCCCCCTCTCCTCCTCCTCCTCCTCCTCCTCCTCCTCCTCCTCCTCCTCATCATCATCTCAAGCCATTCTGGCTCAAGCCATATTGGCTCAAGGCTCAAGCGTTCGCACGGCCGCCCGTCGCCCCTCGCCCGTGGCGCGCCCTCGGCCCGGCGGCATGGCGCGGCCTAGAGCTGCTTGCGCGCTGGCAGATGTCGCCCTCCTCGTTGAGGCGGCGGTCCGCGGCGATGGCGAAGGCGCCACGGTGCGCCGCGCCGCCAGCTCTGCGGCGATCTTCGCCTGCGGAGGTGGCTCGAGGCCGCCCGCGGCGGGCGGCGCTGCTGGGCGCAAGGTTTCTGGTGCTCGTCCCGACCGCGATGGCGCGGGGAAGCCGACCCTGCGGCGCGTGCCGCACGGCGTCGGCGTAGTCCGACGAGTGGGCGGACGCCCTGACGCGCCGTACGCGGCGGCGTCGGCGGCGTCAGCCCGTGGAGCTGGATCGTGGAGCTGGCGGGGCGGCTGCTGCCGCAGAGGTGACAGTGGCGTCGGAGGTGGTACCAGCTGCTGCTGCCGCTGGTGCGGCGCTCGCGGTGGTTCGCGGGGAGGCCGAGGAACGCGCGGAGCTGCTCTCTGCGTACCTCAGGCCCCCTGGTGCCATGGACTCAGACGCCGAGGCCCTCCTGAGGCTTTCGCCATGGACTCAGACGCCGAGGCCCTCCTGAGGTTTTCGCTCGAGAAGCTCCGGTGGCTCATCGCGAACCTGCAGGCGCCTGCCGGCACCGGAGCGGGGGGGGGGAAGGCAGCGGGGGGGGGGCGGCGATTATGCCTAGGGTCTAGCCGCTGCAGCGGGGTGGCCGCCGCCCTTTCCCCCCCTCTCCGCACATGGTGTACAGTCGGCCCGGATTAGTGGGTCGACCCTTGCAAATCAAGGGTACCTTTGTGTCCTGTGTCCCGCGACCCGTGCCTCCTGCATTCCTCTTGCAATGTGGCCCTCGGAAGGGTCTTCTGTCCTGTCGCGTGTCCTGTCCAATCGAGTCCGCCTGTACGTGTTCGGCGTGCTCCTCTTCATGTTCGTCTGAGCTCGGCCTCGGTGGAGCCCCGAGCTCGCCGTCGCTGTCCATGGGGGCTGCCGGCGGCCGCTTACTAGCTGATGAACTGGAACACCTGCTCGGCCCCCAGGCCTTTCAGGGGGCGTCTCGGTCTGCCTCCTCCTCCTCCTCCTCCTCCTCATCGTCCTCCGCCTTCAGCCTTCCCTAATTGTCCTCCTCCTCCTCCTCCTCCTCCTCCTCGCCTCCCCGTCCTCCTCGCCCCCATCCTCCATCCTCAGAGGGGGCTCTGAGAAGGCCGCGGCGCCCGAGACATCCTCCAGAGCCGCCAGATCTCAGAGATTCTCGACTCACCTTCACCCGCCAATTTTTCCTCGTCGTGGCTTCGTCTTACGTCCTCCCCCCCTCCTCCTCGTCCTTCTCTTCCTCTTCCTCCTCCTCCTCCTCCTCCTCCTCCACCTCTTCCTCCTCTTCGCCTCCGTTCCTCTCCCCGTTCTTAGAAACCACACCTCGTCTCGCGGCACCGCGGGCCAGATCGGCGTGCGCGAGCGGCAGGGCACGCAGTACGTCCAAGCCAGGGCCGAGGGCTGGCGCGCGCCGCGGGGTGCCCGCGGCCCGTTCTTCCGCCTTCTCTGTCCTGGACCTCCTCCCGCTGTCTTTCAGAGGAGGAGAAGGTACAGTGGAGACCCCTGCCAAGAAACACCCTGCTCGCCTCCAGGGTGCCCTGGGTTTCTTGGCTTTCGATGGTTTTGCTGCGGAAAGCGTGGCGCTCCCACACCAAAAACCAATAGGCGTCCTGGGGTCTCAGGGTTGGGTTTCTTGTGGAAGGTTTCTTGTGGTCGGGCCTCTACTGTACCCATACCTCTACCCTTTCCTCGTCTTCCCCTTTTAGGCCCTCCTCGGAAGCCTTAGTCGCCACCGCTGGATTCGCCGTGAAATTCTGGTCGGAACGCACCCCGGGAGAGGTCCAGATTTCCCCATGTCCTGGACATTCTCCGGCCGTCTTCTTTCTCTGCCGTATCTTCGTTTCATTGTCTCCTCATGCTCGTTTCCCCCCCAATCGAAAGAGAAGTTTTCGACGTTCCGCGCGGATTTCTTGGATCGGCGCTTGGGCTTGGGCCCCCCTGGCGGCGCCGCCCTTGGCGCGCTCCGCGCGCCATGCAGGGGGGGATCCAGCGCAGATCCAAGAAATCCGCGCGGACCGGCAACAGTTTAAATGTATGCTGTTTTTGTTCTTCTGATACTTTCTCCTCTTGCTCCATCTCCCCCCCCAGGTTCCCCGTCCTTCGTTGCCTTTCTCCCCCCCCAGTCTCTCTTCTCCGTACTTCTTTCCTCTCCTCCTCCTCCTCCTCCTTCTCTTCGTCCTCCTTTTTTTTTTTTTTTTTTTTTTTTTTTTTCTCTCTCTCTCTCTCTCTATCCCCCTGACTCCCTCCTCCTGCTCCTCTTCCTCCTCCTGCTCCTCCCTTCCCCTCCCTTCTTCCTCCTCCTCCTCCTTCTTTCCCCTCACCCTGCTTCCATCGTCCTGATCAGGCAGCCGTTCGTTGATGTTAGAGGACCCTCTTCCTCCTACTTGCCCCCGGGCGGTCCTCCCCTGGCGTTCCCTTCTCCATGCTCCATGATCTTGCCCCAGCCGCCCAACCACCTTCTCTTTCTCATCCTCTCCCTCCTCCACAAACCCCTCCATTTCCTCTTCCCCTCCATCCTCGTTTGAGATCTCTCACGCTCTTCTGGCCCTGAAGCCTGAATATTCCAACACGCTACACGGATGCAGGGTGTGGGGTTTGAGATATGTTGTCTTGTCTTTTACGCCGCGCACAGTCGTTTCAAAGGTTTGCAACATTTACGTGGGCAATTTTGTTTTGTTTTCCCAACCATCTTGTGGTGTTAGGCCATCTCTTTGAACTTTGAAGAGACAGTGCCCCGCGGCCTCCCCACCTCCCCCTCCTCCTTCCATCCCTGCCTCTGCCTTCTGCACAACCGTTGAACCCCACTTCGGCACACCCCTCACACGCTTCGTGGTCGCATGGGGAGCTCCACCGAAGGCCCCACTGGCACAGTCCACATGCGCCCCCCCGCCCGCTGTCCGTACAGCTCTTACACGTTTCGTACCCCCACATGGAGCTCCACCAAAGGCCCCATCCCCCCGCCCCATGTCGGGACGCCCCTCGCACGTTTCGTGGCCCGATAGGGAGCTCCTCCGAATGCCCCAAGGGCGCAGTCCACATGCGTCCCCCGCCCCATTTCGGCACACCCCTCACACGTTTCGTGGCCCCATTGGGAGCTCCACCGAAGACCCCAGTGGCACAGTCCACATGCGTCCCCCGCCCCATTTCGGCACACCCCTCACACGCTTCGTGGCCCCATAGGGAGCTCCACCGAAGGCCCCGGCGGCACAGTCCACATGCGTCCCCCCAGTCTATTTTGACACACCCATCACGCGTTTCGTGCCCTCATAGGGAGCTCCACCGAAGACCCCAGTGGCGCAGTCCACATGCGTCCCCCTCCCCATTTCGGTACACCCGTCACACGTTTCGTGGCCCCATAGGGAGCTCCACCGAAGACCCCAGTGGCACAGTCCACATGCGTCCCCCGCCCCATTTCGGCACACCCCTCACACGCTTCGAGACCGCCATTGGGAGCTCCAGCGAACGCCCTACTGAGTCCCGTGTCGGCACACCCATCACGCGTTTCGTGCCCTCATAGGGAGCTCCACCGAAGGCCCCAGTGGCAGGGTCCATGTGCGTCCCCCCCGCCACATGTCCGTACAGCCCTCACATGTTTCTGCCCCCACACACGGAGCTCCGCCAAAGACCCCAGTGGCAGTCCACATGCCCCCCCCGCCCGATTTCGGTACACCCTCACACGTTTGGTGGCCACATGGAGGGCTCAACGGAAGGCCCAGTAGCAGGGTCCACAAGCGCCCCCTCGCCCCATTCCGGCATATCCGTCGCACGCTTCGCGTCGCCTTCGGGAGCTCCACCGAAGGCCGCATCGGGAGGGTTCACATGCGTGCCATTTGCCCCAGGTTGGTACACCCTTCACACGCTTCGAGGCCTCATTGGGAGCGCAAGCGAAAACGTATCTGACAACAGATTCCATCACAACCGCATATGGTTGGGTCCTTCACCCGGCTACTTGTTTGTTTGTGTGTGTTCTTTGTTTGACATTATGACGTGTGCCCAACCATCTTGTCTGGGTCCTCGTTTTGAAGGACCGTTTCTGCCTCTGCGCGGCGTCGGCAGAATGACAGCGATGCTTGGACATGTCGCTTCTGCGTCCACGAGAAGACAACTTTGCCTTGGTTCAACACAGCTGTGCTCCTCTACTGCAAGCAGTGCCGGTTGCAGAAGTTCGTGTGCTTCAATGAAAAACCGCCCACTCCGAGCACCTCGAACAAGCGGATGTTGCTCGATGAGCGGCGCGCGGAGCTCGGGAAGCAGCTCAAGCAACTGCGGACCCAGCCTCCTCGCGCGCCTGGCGGTGCTGGCGGTGGCGGTTCCGAGCATCCTTGGGTAGCTGGCG